GATACTGAACTGCTCTCCAGTTGGTTGTATTTGCTGTGATTCGACCACTTCTTGTTGTTGTATAAAACAAAGTACTGGCTTCAATAGCATCATTTGCACTTGATAATTTGGATAGTTTTGTTTACTTTTATTATTAATTAATATCTTTATGTAATATATAATTAACATGGGTTTTTGTTTGGTGGCCCAACCGTTGACATACCAAAAAATTGGTGGCCCATCGAAACTGCCCAAAGATTTTCCATGGCCCATCCCAAATCGCTCCAGCCCACCCTAACAGTTACTTTATGACCGGTTCCTAAGGATGCTATATAGTCTCCTTACTTTTTCTCCATTTTCCATGAGTTCTCTATCAGCGACATTCACATTGGCCGCCTGTTCCAAAAATGCTTTTTCCATATCTTCCAACTCAATGTTCCACTAAAACAAAGAAGAAATTATCTTTATTTATACACAATCAAAGTTTTGTAAACCTTTTCTTCCGTTAAGGTTACAGAACACCTTTGAGGGTTAATTTTGCCTAAAATTTTTTTATTGGTTTCCATGAAAGCATTATACTAGTTCTACTATCTGACCAAGTTTGAACGAAAAATGTTGAAAACTCGCAGAGTTATTTAATAAAATACATTTCGCTGCAATAAGAAAAACATTGAAAATGTAATATTTAAATTCAATTTTCTCCAGAAGAATTTTACGGTAATTGCTGATTTTCAAATGAGTTGTGCTCCTGCGGGTTTTGACCAATTTTTCTCACATTTTCACAGGACATAGCTAAAGACGTCAATTTCAAAACTGTGTTCGGTTTTATTTTAATTTTGGATATTTTAATAATAAAGAGCTTTTCACTCAAACAATTCAGAAATATGTTGCAGTCGTCAAAGAAATCGCCATATCAGCGGAATGACGAAATAAACAAAAAATTCCGAACACAATTTTTTACTGTATAAAAATGATATTTTCATAAATATAACTTAAAACCAGCAGGAGCACAACTCAAAAGCGTAACGGTACCGCGATTTAAGATTTTCCTGAATAATTCTTATATTATTTTATTGTTTGTTAATTGTACAACTTTACCATATTTTGCATGCACTGGAGAACATTTGGTGAAAATTTGATGAAAATCGGACTGATATTGAGCGCGCAGTAGCGATTTTCCGCAAAACGCCAAAAAGGGTGTCCTGTAACCTTAAGGAGAGTTGCAACTTAATACTGAGTGCAACTTACTTTGTTCACTTGGTCTTCCAGCTGTTTATATGTATACTTCTCCGTGCTAAAACAACATACATTAGGTTTCAGCAGAGGTGAAGGCAATTCCAAACGAGAGGGGGATCTAATTATCAGGCCGGCTGGGGCCATGGTCCCGCAGAAATTTTTCTATTTTTAGGGTCTGCAAAACAGTATTTCATGCATTATATGCATCTTTTATGATAATCTGAAAGCCACAAATTTGATAGATTTTGAGTCATAGATGAAAATATTACGAGGTTATGCCCCCCCCCCAGTTTCTTGTCAGTTTTGAAAGAATTACAAAATCGGTCCTGAAGAAAACTGGCAGGGGGGGGGATCTCCACATTCCTCCCACCCCTGTGGCTATACCTCTGGGTTTCTGTACAGTTGCTATTATTGCAAATACAGTATGTCTGTATATAACAACATTTGAACGAGATATTCTATCATTTTTAGTATTTAGCCCAATTCAATACAATATCCGATTTATTTACCTTGTTGTTGTGGCCGCTGTTCCTGATGTTGCTAAAACATAAAAGACAAAATAACATATGAAAATTTAAACAATTTTTCCTGCAACTAGCTACAGTTTATCAGGGCTCGTTCAGGTCAGGAAGAGTTAAATTCAAGGCCTTTCAAGCTTATATATCAGGAAATTCAAGGACTAAAGGCTGAAAAGGTGTTAGACTTAGATATCAGTAAAAAGTGACGTTAAACTCTGTTCGAACGGCAACTTTAATGAATGTCAAACAGCTTTGGCCTTTGTAAGACATGAACAAAATCAACTTACAAAATGTCCAATTCTTAATGCCAAACAATTTAAAAAAATACTCACTAAAGCAAGAACAATTTAAGGACTTTCAAGCACTTCTTTATAAACTCAAGGACTTTCAACACCATGAACTTTTGTTTCCAAATTCAAGGATTTTCAAGTATTTTCAAGTTTTGTAGGAACCCTCGTTTATAAGATCCAGTGTCGACGTCGACATAAAATACAAAATTTGTTTTTTTTTGAGTATTGAATGTTTTAACACAGTACCTGGTTTACCAGTTATGCCTGCAGTCGTTGTTGGTAACTTAAACCCTGATGCAGTAGAAGAAGTTGTCGCTACCCCACTTGCTGTACCACCAAAAGTTAAGCCTGACAATGAGAAAATACGACAATATAAAAGACTTTTAACCCATTAAGCTTGCAAAGCTTCCCCGTTGACGAGTAAAATCTCTGGTGTTAGACAAGAAAAAGAAATAAGTAAAGCGCACTAGGGCGCATTGCGAGCCAATGGGTTAACTGGAGACATCGTCAGATTTCTTGGTTAACTTATTAAGCTGCAGAGCTTCCCCGTTGACGAGTGTAATCGCTTAAATGAGCTCATAGACCTGTAGTGTTCAAAGTGCAGTACTGCAAAAACTGGTGCATACTAAACCCATGACAGGTGCAAGTTTTAGATAATTACTCACAATTAGAGCCACTTAAAGACCCGTCACAACAAAGACCCTTAAAATTTCTTGACACAAGGTTGCTAAACCAACGATATAAATCCTGGCAGCAAGAATATAAATCTTGGCAACTTCTTAGCTGCCCTGTCAACAATACAGTATTTCTTATGGATAATGAAACAATAGATTAGGTAAGATAACAAACCTGCCGTGGAAGTAGTTGTCGATGTTTGCGGTAGTGTCAAGCCAAGTGTTGGTTTTGCCGTGCTGGTTGTCGTTAGCAATGGCGTCGCTCCAGGAAGTGTTGACTTCACTTTTGCAGCAAATACCAAATTTGTATTTGTCCCCACGATCGTTTTTGCCACGGTACTTGCTGGGGTTGCTGTAGTGGTGGTTTTAGGTTGTCCACCTAGCTGTCCTGCGAAGTTAAACCCGGTTGTGCTCTGCCCTAGGCCCAAGCCTTGCACAGGTTGGGTAGTTCCTTGTGTACTTGCGGGGGTTGTACCGAACGAAAAGCCAGGGGTTGCTTGTGTTGCGGGTGTTCCTCCTGAAGTCAAGCCAGGTTGAGATGTTGCGGGCGCACCTCCAAGTTTGAACCCACCACCCGTCACTTGGGGCGTGGTGCCTCCTGAAGTCAAGCCAGGTTGAGATGTTGTGGGTGCACTTCCAAGTTTGAACCCACCTCCAGTTGTTTGGGGCGTGGTCCCCAAGGTGGGCCCTCCTAGTTTTACCCCAGTACCAATCCCCGCTGCTTGCGTGGTTGCTGTGGGTGTACCACCTAGGGTAAATCCGGTGGTCGCTGTTGGTGCACCGGTAGGTTTCGTTGGCTGTACCATCCCACCAAATGTCACCCCTGTACCTAGAGCTGTGCTACCAGTAGATGTGGTTGTTGTACCAAATGAAAATCCAGGTTTTGCAGCAGTTCCACTTTCCTGGGTACCAAATGTCAATAGGTTTTGCTCCGTGAGTTGCTGTACTGGAGCCAAAACTTGGGGTTGCTGTTGTGCCTGCCTGTGTTGGGGTACCAAAACTTATGCCGCCGGGTTTGGTATTCTGTGCCGCACCTCCAAAACTGAGCGACTGATTTGGGGCTGCGGCAACTCCGCTGAATAACAAAGTGTTACCACTATTCAAAATTGGCTTTCCACCAAATGCCGGTGGTCCACCCCGAGGTGCCACTGAGCCACTAAAAAGGCCAGTTGAATGAGATGTTTGCGTCGCGGGCGCTGCAACACCGCTGAAGAACCCTGTTGATTGAGACGTTTGTGTTGCAGGTGCTGCAACACCGCTGAAAAACCCTGATGATTGAGACGGTTTTGTTGCGGGAGCTGCAACACCGCTAAAAAACCCTGTGTTACCTCCTACAGTTGCTGTTGGTAGCTTTGCGCTGAATAATGATGGCCCGCTTGCTTGTTGAGCTGGCGCCATCGATCCACCAAATAAGCCAGTCGATTGAGTTGCTTGTCCACCAAAGCCTGTCGTATTTTGGGTTGTCGCTTGGCTACTACCAAACCCTGCTGACGTGCCGCTGAATAAACCTGCACTAGGGGTTGTGCTGGTCATCCCAAATTGAGTACCAGTTGTTGTTGTATTTGCCGCACCAAAAACACTGCCACTGGGTGTACCATATGCAGGGGGTTTCGTAGTGGGGTTGTTGAATATGGAGGCGGTGGTGTTGCTACTGGGAGTAGTGAAGGAAAAGGGAGGTTTCGTTGTTGCTGCAGTTCCGGCAAAGCCAAAACCACTTGATGGGGTGGCTGAACCAAATGAAAAGCCAGTTCCTGGAGTTGATGTGGCTAAATTAAATACAATTAAATAACATTTAAGGCCAATTTACAATACACAACCAGGTTTTATTTCAGGGATTTTTTAGGGCCGTTAAACAGCCCCAAAAACTCAATCTTGAATTGAGTTTTGAAACTCAATCTTCTCACCAAAGTTTCAGTGCAGTAAAAATGAAGTTGTTTGAGTTAAATTTGTGACGTGTGGAAATTAGTTTTCAGTTGGAAACCCCACAATTAAAAAAAATGCCTGGAATTCATCTCACAGCACAAGAAAAACTATGCATTCGCCATCTTTAACCAGTTTATAGTGTCCCTCAGTGCCCCTGCTTTAACACACTCCGTCTCAACTACATTTATTGAGTACAGGTGTCAGCCCCCCGGTAAGGGGGCATGCAGCCGCCCCAGCTGTTCAGCTTAACTCAATCTTCTCTGCAAAAATGGACCCAAGAGAAAATCCTGAAAAAAACACTGACAACTTTTGCGTAAAAGTGTTAGTAGGTAGGCAGGTAAACTTTATTTAAAACAATACGCTAGCCTCGTCAACTTTCGCTGATTTCCACGAGGGGCGTGTTCATTACATGAATATAAAAATATTTACAAAAATATTTACAAAAATCAACCTATTAGTATGGCTATAATAACTATATTTACAATAAATTACGCGAAATTGTGAGCAGTAATTCCATTTCTAAATATCAGCAATGAATCCGAATCACACAAATATGGGGGTAAGGAATTCCACAATTTCACCCCATCATAAGAAAAACTTTTTTTTAGATTTTCAGTTCTGGGAAAAGGTATTTGCAGAGAGGTAGTGGAGCCACTGAGCTCATAATGTGTGATGTCACTTTTGCACACAAAAAGATTGACAAGTGTGTTTGGAGCCAAATAATTTAAAACTTTATACATTTGAATTGCTTTTGACTTGGTTTCGTTGAGACTCAAGAGTTTCCCACCCTAAAGCAGAAATTGCTTCTAATCCAGGGGTATCATTTTTAATACAACTTGAGTTGTACTGTGTAAATCAAGCACAAATCTCGACTATATTGTCGTAGGTGAGTTGTGTGCTTGATTTACACAGTACAACTCAAGTTGTAGGCAGGTTGCATGCAACAGTTTTAAAAAGGTGATATAATTTTCTGATGTCAAATGAAAAATATAGAGGATATTAGATGGTTGCGAGGGGATATGGATTTTATGTTCGAGTGGCAAAAACAATATCTCACAAGTGAGCGCAACAAACGAGTGAGATATTGTTTTTGATACGAGAACATAAATCCATATCTTCTCACAACCGTTTAATCAACTTGGATGGTAATCAGGGTTCGAATTAGACAGGAAAGATCAATTCGCAAATTTCCTTCTTGAAAATTTGAAGGACATTTCAGTTTTGAAAAGTGGAAACACTGCTTGCGAAAAACAAGATGGCGGTCGTTTCAAAGCAAATTTCTTAAATTTTCTGAAGAAATTGTAGCCATATTCTTCATTTCACACATCCTTCTAGTACAAAATTACAATAATAGTCAGCAAAATACTCCACATCTTCCATCATAATAAAATACATTCGAAGTGATAGTGAAAATCAACCTTTTATGTAAACCTTAATACATTGTTTTTGCAAAACGCCATTCACAAAATGGATGATTTTGCGTTCGCCAGTGTGGAAAGTTTGTATCGCGCGGCGGATATCTCCGGCGCGCAATTTTGATGCTTTCTATATATTTACTATTAAATTTTCGAAATCTCCGGTGCACAATTTCCAAACTTTCCAGTCTGGTCAGCGTTCGCAAAAAGCGAATTTACATTCGCAATTTACGAATAGTGGGCCGCTAATTTGAACCCTGCAGTTATAGCTGGCATTGAGATGAACACGGATTCAACTACCTGAAAATACAAGTAAAACTCTGACGTAAAGGCCCTTCATCAGGAAGTTATTAGCAGGTATGTAAAATAATTTTAACAAGCTTTTCGTTGGTAGGGATGCGACTGCCTGACAAATATAAGGAGAATTTCGACGTTTTGAGCGAAGTTACTGTAACGGTAACTCCAGATTCCGCCTTCACTTGAAACGTCAAAATTCTTCTTATATCAAGTAGTTTCATCCCTAAAAACGAAAGCTTGTGTACATTATATTGGCACTACCTTCACTGGCAAGGACATGTAAAATAATTGAATTTATGTTTACCTCTACCGAGGTTATCATTTTATAAACATTGATCAAGTAATACGTATATTTTAGACTATATATTGACTTCTAAAAACGATAAAAAGCTTTGAAGAGGGGTCCTGTCGGGTTGTGGTATTCATGGAATGACAACTTCACAAAAACAACATGATGAACATCGACAAAACATTCAAAACGTTCATTTTTCCTCACCTGCGCTCGCTGGATTACCTCCAAACGAAAAACCAGACGGTGGATTTGAACCAGATTGCATCTTAGAAGTTCAAAAAGCCTCAAATATTTCAAAAAACATCAATTTTTCAACAAAAAATCGAAAGTTTGCTCTCGGAATTTTTAACGACGCAACAAGCACGCTAGACTGTATTGTTTTTTGTTGGAGTTCCGCTGACTCAAAATGACTGGGCAATTCCTGTTCCGTTGTTTGCATCTAAAGGCATAGAGATTATAAATAACACTAGAGGAGGCATTGTAATCTTAATTCAGTAAAAAAAAGGGAACGCGACTATTGGGGGGCAAATTCAAGTCCCGGATGTGTATTCGTGTTCTCATTGGTGACGAGTTTCAAATCAGCCAATGAGAGCACGATTTTATATCCGGGACTTGAATTTGCCCCCCATTAGCTGCGTTCCCAATTTTTAAACTCGATGCCTCCTCTAGTGTTATTTATAATCTCTATGTCTAAAGGCCTAATTCCACGACGAGCGAAATGCGAAAAATTTCGCGCGAAAAGGTTGAACGCATGCGCAACATGATTTGGGAATGTTCCTCAGCGAAATATTTCTCTTCGCCGGGTCACAGAAGAGATAAGGGCAGAAGATTCACTCAAGGGTAAAAAGTGTGCCAGAATGTGGCTCGACTTCCGGTGTGGCCGCCATGTTGAAAGCAACCAAACCAGAGGAAATTTTATAGGAGTTAATATGGCGGAATACGAAATAGAGCCACTAAAAGT